TGTGTGTGTGAATGGAGAAAAAGGGGGATGTTGTGTAAGCTGTTGATACGTTTGTTTGGGTAAGTGTCAGAGGTCCATAGTTTGTTCCACAGTCAGTGAGGCCAGCATGTCTTTGCTAATGGAGGGGGGGGCTGGGTTGTCTGATATTCTATGATGCATTGGAAGTGTCCTTGTAACCTGCCGCTGAGGCCCGCAGCCTTGCAGCAAAAGCATCAATATTTCAAGCTGATGGGTCGCCTTGAGATAGGTTATTATTGTCTAGTACACTGAGAGGCGTGCGTACACACCACAGTTTCGAAGATGTTAAGAGTAAGAAAAATGCTGGTGTAGCCTTTGAGAGGTGAAAAATCATGCATTCACGAAAACTTCATTACAGCTTGTCAGCGTGCAAAATACTTAATTGCTCCCTCCAACTTCACTCTGTGTTCATGTGTATGTGTGGACATAATTAGCTTACTACTCTCTGATCTTTAATGCATTATTGAATATTTCAAAGCAGTCTCAATCCTCTCTGCTAAGTGACTGCCAAGCATGGATCACAGGGCGGGCTTCTCCGTGATGAAGGGCGGAGCGGCCATTAAGCAGTCTGGGTCGAGATGCTGGCCTTGTGTGAACCTGGATCTCATGAATAATATAAACACCTCTACTGTATTTGGATGCACTTTGGACTGTAGAGCGCCAGAGCTGATGACATTGATTTTTGGTCGTGCAATTTCAGGGAACAATTCCATTTTAGTGGCGAATAATGGGTTGTAGAAAATCGAGGATTTATTGCAATCATTCCTGATGGAGAACAACAGCGAGTGTCTCGTTTGGTTGCAGCTCAACTCCTCACACTGCAACCTTGACATGACAATAGCTGAGTTGTCATGGTAATATGACATTTTCAAAAATTCTCATCTCTCACAATTACGGCATATCTGTCTTCTCTCATCAAATGTCACCCTTCATAATTGTTTTCACTCTCCTATGGGACAAGATTTTTAAACAAATTGGGCCCCATTGAAAACATAGGGCACTTGTAGTATAAAAAGGCAAATCCTAATTTGGTGGAATGTCATATATTTTCCTTAATTTCTGTCATTATTCCAAAATCAGCAATGTTATGCTGATATAACGTGGTTCCTTGGTTGATAAAAGTCTGCTCTCTCAGAGTGGAACCCATTTTTCTGAGACATTGAGTAATGCATGTTTTTTCCAGAATATGCACACTGTATTTAGGTAATGAGCTCCCACAAATAGAGCATCTATCATCAACATATTTTATGGATCTACGTGCCAGGGTTTGAAATATTAGCCACTGTTTGATCAATCAATTCAGGAAACCAGTGGTGGAAATAGGAAGGCTGCACTTATCAATATTTCTATATTGACAATGGATCAAATGACTACGACTAGTGTCAAATTATGAGTCTTCTTTGTCTCGTCTTGCCGGAAAGTCACTGTGCTTGACCATACAAATCCATTACATGTTTTATTTTGCTATCAGGTCACAGGTTTCCTACTTTTTCCTGTGTTGTCGCTAAGCAATGCTAACAGGCCATATTTCCCATATTGTAAGACTATTACTTCAACTTGAGTTCACTTACTAGCTTGTTCCACTTTTTGAACAACATTTCACAATCTGATAATACTAATATACTGTTTCTAAGAGTAAAATCCTAATGCAATAAAGTATTTCTACCTTGGGGTTGCTATTTTTCCATGATTGTAAATGAACTCACGGACGATTCAGTGTGGATTCTACAGTATCTTCCGTTTTGCTGAAATGGAATTCCTGGAGGAACAGATGAAGCAATATGAACAAATGGTTCGGCAGATGAATTATGGTGATGCATAACTAGTGTTTTCTCCGTGGACAAATGAGTCTGCCTCAAAATGGATTCTCTCGTTGTGTGAATAAGCTCTCCCGGTGCGGTGTACGTGCATTTTGGGATCAGTTTGTTTAATGACAGCAGGACCATCTTCAATCCATCATTACTTAGGCCTTGTGATTAGTAAAATGCTCATCAAAGTCACATAGAGGGAGTGAAATGCCCATGTGATCTGCCTACAATCTATCAAATTGACTAAAGTACGTGCACAAAAACACACACTGTCTACTGAGCTTTGTGCCAGCCATAAGCCCTTTCCATTAGACCTGCGCTGCATTAAGCATTTGGGTTAAAAGCTTTCATAATCAGGTGTGTGTTCATTTGGTGTTTCCAAGATCAATACTGTCCTTGACGGGAGAGCTTTGTCCACTGTGTGTGTGTGTGTGTGTGTGTGTGTGTGTGTGTGTGTGTGTGTGTGTGTGTGTGTGTGTGTGTGTGTGTGGGCGTGTGTGCAGAAGGACCTCAGAGCTTTGGCCTGAGTGTGTGTGTCTTCACATTTTGCCTGACAGTGTTTACTGCCTTCTGTGTTTTCCTCCGTGATCTCTTCATTCTGTGTTTAAGGGGAACTAACAACGGTGTTCTGTAGATACTGCGGCTGTTTTTTTTCCCGCCTGACGCCCCCTCAGTTGATCCTGAGGTCCACTCAACAGACTGCAACTGCAACAAATGTGGAGCCAAAACCCATTAATGAGCGCAACACACACATACAGGCATCTGCTTCGGTTCCTTTTTATTTTGCTCGTGTGTGAGTGCCTAAATGTGATTTTTAAAATTATGCAAACTGTTTCCAGATAAACTTTTTAGAAATGAAGTCCAAAATAAGTAGGCTGTTCACACGCAAAAATACAATCCTTCAATTAAATGGCTTTGTCTCGTATTAAAAACAGGCAGGAAGAAATGACACACTGTTTCAACCCTCCGCCTACATCAATGCAACAACTTCAAACTACATTTCATGTCAAAATAAAGAAAAAGTCTTGTTAAATTGACATTTTTTCCGCAGCATGTATTCTTGTGAGCAGCAGAGTGTGCATTTGTTTGCAAGTGTGTGGGCGTACAGGGACTTTTAAAGAAGTATGCCGGCAGCAGCGTTTTTACAAATGCCTCCTCTGCA